GAAGAATCAAGTGTGGAAAAAGTGCTTGGCAGGATTGAGAAAATCACAGTTAGCAAATCTCTTGGAAAATAAAGGTAGTCCTTAAAATTTAGCCTCCAAATTTTGAAACACGGGACTGAAAGGATCCATGGAACACGATTTGTAGGTACAGGGTGTCCCATGTAGGTACAGGGTGTCCCATGAACCATGACAGTGGGTGAATAGTCGTCTTCCATAATTTGTCAAAAAGAATAAGAAAATATATCACATGGCAGTCATATTATAGTAAAATAGATTTCAAAGTAAAACAAATTTGAGTAGCAGATTTTTTGAAAAAATAAACTCCAAAAAGACTTTAGTAACTTATATAAAATATGGAAGACGACATTCAAAACTGTTCACCAACTGTTGTGTTTCTTGGGACACCCTGTATCTGAGAAAATATAGAAGTTCAACCATATCACTACCGAAAAATTGCACTTTATTTTGGCTCGAAAATTTGTTATAAAACCGTCCTGGTTTCTGCAAAAGATTGCTTTACCTTACTTTGAGGACTCCAAACAAGTTTTTTTTTCTGACGAGTCTCCTTTTGAGCTGTTCCATTAAGTTATTTGGACGCATCTCCATCATGTTCCAGTTCCAAATTTCCATCCTTAGAAAGATGATGAAGGATGATCTTAGGCCTTACGGACCTCCACATAGTCCTTCATAAAAGCAATATTGAGACAAATTTTTGTCAAAATATTAAAATAAAGTGGATTCAGAGGTTCCGAATTCAACCTTGAACCTGTTCTAGATATGTCTCAGTTAATCTTTCAGCAGGACAGAGTTCGTCTTTACACTGCCCTCAGGACTTGGAGGCTGTTTTTATCATGATCATGAGTTTGGATCATCTTTTATAAAATTTTGCCAGTTAAGAAAAAAATACTAACATTTTTCTTTGGCGCTTTGCGCCTCAATTCTAATTTAATTTCTAACTATTTCTCCTTGAGGTTACAAGAACCTAAGAAACCGAATTATAGAAAAAAAAACCTTATTATTGGACTTTTGCAGACTAAAAGAGGAAAACAGGGGTAAGCCCCATACTGGCAAACAAGGGAAGAGGAACTACAGAAAGACTATATATTGATGGACAGCTTTAATTCAGGAACCACGTACTGCTTATGACTACACAGACCTACTATTAAGGGACTTGTGGGCTAAAAGGACTAATGAATGAATTACAAAAAAACTGCTGGAGACTGTAACAGAGGATTTAATCCACATAGTGAATATGACTGAGTCTAGGACTAAATTACACTAAGAATTAAATAAAAAGAAACATACATTTTTTTCCGCTTCGCGCACATATAGAGCAAACTGACTCTTGCCATTTAACAGCTATTGTAAGTATAATTGTTTTAGACATAAAACAAGCCACAGGATATTATAAGAAATTAGAAGCAATTGTTTTATATTGAGCTCAAAGCCAAACATGATACAATAGAAAAATTCTGTTTTTTCGACTTCAAACCATTTTCTTCATTTAGAAAACTATTTCGAAACGGGGGAGGGGGGGATTATCCCATTGAAACTTCCCCCCAACACTTGAAAAAATTTATTTTGCCCCCTCTTCCCTTTTGCAAAAGTGATAGTTACGCCCCTAGTTGGCAATTCTGTTAATTTAATACAAACGTTGATAATTGTTATAAAAAAGTCTAAGAGTGCCCAGAGCTGGCTGCCAGCTGATTTAGCATTTACTTAAGTATGAACCCTAAAAAACGTAGAAATATTGATAATCTCAAAAAATGTAACGTCATCTGAATAAATTACCTATAATGAGTATTACAATTTAAAATCATAAAATCGTGATGTTGTGTAAGTTATAGCTTTTCAATAAAAGTAACTGCATCCAATCAGAGCTTTCTTGCAAAATAATAAAAATTTATTTATTTAATTTATTGAAAAGAAAATATTTTCGGAATTATTTTCTTCCAGGAACTATAATACTACATTAACTCATTTTTTGGTTTACCATGTACAAAGGAATTGAGTTTTTGCCACAAACTCATATTTTCCAATCTCTTTATCTTTGCAGCCTGATGTGGTGAAGCTTTAATATTTAAAACTTTAATTTTTTGATCTAACAGATTTAATAGTTTGAAATATAAAAGGTTTATGACATTGTGTTGCAAAGATATAAGGATTAGAAAATTAGAGCTTGTGACAAAAGCTCGGTTCCTTGGTCTAAGATTGATTTTTATTTTCAGATAAAAGATACAGGGTGTCCCAATAAACATGGAAATTCAGTGACGAATTCGATATCGTCTTTTCAAATAATTTTTTGATTTAGTATAGTGATACCTACTGAGAAAGCTGTAATCTGTAAGAAATTCGTCTGCTATGTTCACATTTTGTTTGTTTGCGTTTTGACTGCATAAGGTAAAACAAGAAAATTAAAGTATACAAAAAGAGTAAACTTGTCCGTCTTCACTGTTCATCTTGCGGAGACATTATAGACACATCTTTGCAGTCTTTTACCCTTTTCATAAAATAAACTCTAGCAGACATAATAATATTATGGCTTTTGAAATTAGGTATTACAATGCTAATTCATAACAAAGACGATATCAAATTCGTCACTGAATTCCCATGGTTTTTGGGACACGCTGTAGTCAAATGTGTGCTAAATTCATGTCGTAAAATACTAGGTGTCCCAGTTGCAAGACTACTTGAAAGTCGTCTTTGAACAATAACCACAATATTTTCCTAGTCCTGCATTTCCAAAATGTGGTCTATCTTTTTTGTGATGTAAATATAACCGGAGATAGTAAGAATTTTGTTCATATTTCAATTATATTGAATAAAACCAAATTTTATAAAAATCTGAACGAAATTCTTCACATCTCCGGTAATATTGAAACCAGAAAAAAGCGGACCACATTTTGGAAATTCCAGTACTTGGGGCGTTGAGTAATATAAACTCTAAAATTTTACTTCTAATAATAGAGGGACACAGATAATCAGAAAATTATATAAAAATCAAAGACGACGTTCAATTCGTATCGCTACTGTCACGTTTCGTGCGACACCCTGTATGTGTTTGCAAATCCGGGGTCAAAGATTGGATTCAATTTCTCCTGAAGTAATGATCCCTTGACAGCTTATTTAGAATAATCCTAATGAATATATTATGTATTATACTTTAAATTCAGTGAATTAGGTTCATCATAAACATTGGAATGTACTTAGATTGAATTTTTGCACAATGGGATAAATTTAGAAATTCATCCCACTGAGAAGTAATATTTTCTTTCATAGTAAGTTTTTGTTTTTAAGATGTAATTTGTAGATACGCTGTCACACATTTTTCTTCCAGAACCTTAATTAATACCTGATCTTAATGAACTTATTACAATATCTCTAGGATATTAGGACTATGTAGTAAAAATTTCAGCTTTGGTCAACCCTGCTCTTTGTCTCTTAGAGAGACATTGTGATATTAACTTCCAGGGGCGTACGAGGGGGGGGCCGCGCCCCCCCGCCCCCCTCTACGCGTGCCCCCCCTGAGAGGCTGAGGGGGGGCATCCATGGGGGAGGCTCTTTTAATAATACATCTGCTTGCATTTCCCTTCCTCAGGTCAGGCACAGTGGTGTACCTAGGGGGGGCAGTAGTTCTCTTGCCCCCCCCCTGGGAGTTAGAAAAATACCAAATTAAAAGGAAACTACGTTTATAAAGTAACACCTGACAATGACAAAGACTAAGGATTTGTCTAAATTCACTGTTAATACAAGGAGAGAAAAGTTTTAGCCTTCTAAAGAGAATACTTCTTTACGCAAGATGTACTATGACGGAGAGCAGACTTAACGATCTTGCACTTATAGCTTTACACCCTATAAGGCTGTCTGAGCTCTCTACTGAAAAAAATCATTGAAATGTTTGTGCAAGCAAATCCTAGAAAATTGTAGCTTAAAAGATTTGGTTAAAATGTAGATTGAGTAAATTCTATCTAAAAATTTCAGAAGAAATTTCGTTTATTCGTAAAAATATAATTTTTAATGATGCTGTGATTATTGATTTAGTTAGCTGTGATGGAGTTAAGTGATAAATTTATAAAGTTAAAAAGTTAGTTTTTCAAGCAAAGGAATAATTTTTAGACTCTAAGGTTAGTAACACCCAAAAAAAGTAGTCTTTTTGGTGTATTTTTATGGTGAACAAAATAAGTCCAGGTGGGAGAGGGGGGGCAAAAAAAATTTAAAAAAGGTATTAATATTTTTTCAAAAAAGGGGTTTTTAAGGGGGGGGACCAATGTTGCCAAGGGGGGGGGACCAATGTTGCCAAGGGGGGGGGACCAAAAAATTGTGCCCCCCCTAAACAAAAGCCCTCGTACGCCCCTGACTTTCTAAACGAATAATGAAGTTATTAACTTCATTATTCGTTTAGAAAGTCTGAAAACCGCAAAACTCTTTAAAATGGCAATGAAAAACGGTTTTTGTTTCTAAAGAATATTGCGTAATTTTCGTTTTAAGATTAAAAAAAGAAAAGATTTTTTAAAAATTAAAAATACAAAAGTTCTGTTTGAAATTAAAACCTTAAAGATAGCATTGATGGTAATTTATTATTATAAGGTTTTTGAAATACATATGAAAAATTATAATTCGATTTGAAACACAAAACGAACAAAATTGAACGCTTTTCATAAATTGTTTTGAAAATGAAAAAATCATTTCAACTTTTCAAACCAATCGAAAAACTATTTAAAAAAAAGTTGTTCATGTCTTTGTCATTATAACATCTAATGAATGTAATGAACATTAACTTCATAAATGTTGTAATTGTGACGTGGAAATCCCGTTTGTTAATTGCAAACACGATTGTTTATTATTAACACTGCCCAGAATTTTTTAAGATCAATGCAATAAGATTCATATTTTAAGATTATGTCAAATTTTCTCATTTATTTCTAATAGTCTTAGCTATAGTCTTATAATTTCAACTTTTTACCCATTTCATTTGAGAACAACAAAATAAAAATCAGAAGTATAAAGATAAAGCATTTATTGAGCAAAATCTAGATTCAAAGTATAATATTATATATTAAAACTGTTGAGAAACTAATTAAGGATTAAATATGGAACTCAAACAAATGTTGCAGTAAGCGTTCAAAACTGTGAATTCAATGTAAAGGCGACCTTTTCAACTGTTATCACCAAAACTTTAAGTATTTTGTTTACAAATTTAACAGTTAGGTGTACCAATCATTTGATCTGTGACAGTCCTAGGGCTGTGTCCTATTGTTGACTTTAAGATACACATCCCATTATCGTTACGTAATTCAAAATGTACACATACTGGTGTTTCACGGCATCTGCACGCACATTCATCCAGATTATATATGTCCACTATAACTGAAAAACAAAGGTTTAGTACACTAAAAATCAAGATGTGTGCACGCACTCACGGAAAAATCTATCAGTATTTTCCAATTACTCCTTTCAAACAAAAAAGGGTAAGTGAGTTGGTGGGGTAAACCCAAAGGCCAAGGCAATTACGACGTCTGAAAGTCAAAACTGTCTAAACATTAGATGACTAACTTTCGAAGTTGTCTATAGCTCAGTGAGTAACAGCCTGCAACTGTTAAAAGTTATAATATACACAATAATATATCTATATAAATACTTTGCTTGTATATTTAAATATGTATATACATATGTGTATCTATAATAACATTTTACAAATTATAATATTGTTTAATGCAGGGAATAAGAATAAAGGGAAGGGAAATGGCGCTTGTCTGGCATGAGAAAGCCAGTCGCACTGCTTTGCAGACGAGTTTGTTATCACACACACGCACTCTTTTGGTAAAGACACACAACATGACTACAGTTAAGGAAATTGCAGAACAATGTCATCAATTATAATTAAGCTTGAATAACGAGTAGTTTATTGTAAACTTTAATCAAATTATATTCTTTGCATGAACATTTGGTTTATAGTGTTGACTTAAATAAATAAATAATATATATTACATTTATATTAAACTGATTTTTAAGTAAACAATTAACAATAAAAAAAATGTACTCTCCTAGACTGTACAAATACCGAGATTCTTATGTACTGTATATATCTTAAGTACACTCCTTCGGTTCGGTATTACTTACACGCACTCTTTTGGTACAGACACACATACATGACGTTTCCGCTTCCTGGTTTGATGGCAATAGAAGATCGTGTTACTTACTTCCAGCAGTCTCTCCTTTAAAACAAATATTCAACAAACATTTCTGCCTATTTTTTTAGCATGATGACAAGAGATAAGTTTTTCCCCTGAAAGCAAACTTTCTTACAATATTGCTCAAAATTGCGCGATTGTTATCAGTAAATAATCACGAAAACTACTTATATATAATATAACATTTATATATATATGTTAGCTATCTGGCAAAACGGCTTAACCAAATTGGCTGTCATTATTTTGAGGGAACTCATGGGATCCCTGGGTAACAAAGGCTATACGAAAAGGATTGATTTTTTTCTTCAAAATTCTAAATTTGAGTTTTTTTCAAAATTTGAATTCTTTAGAATTTGTAAAAAAATTTGTGCAGAAAAATGATTTTTCAATATTGATGGAAACTATACGATTAATCAATTATGCCGGCGAGGCGGTGGGAAATTATTTCCTTTAAAGAAAGGTTCATGTTAAAATAGTTAATGTTGAATGGATATCCCTGTATAAGTTACGTCTACTTCTACACACTTCTCAGAGATGCAATCTAAAACATAATTTATAATTGTTTTTTTCTCAATTGTTTAAACAATTTTTGCTGTTCGTTAAAAATTTAATTTTGAAAGGAAATGATGAGGTGGAAGGGGGGGGGGTGTTTTGATTTAGTTTTGTTTTCCAACCGCTTCAATTTGGTATGTACTGCAGTGAAGTACAGATGTACATCCCAGGAAACATTTAAACCGACTTCTAGTTCCGATGGCGAAGTTGTCGGGTAACTAATTCTGGATTTCTGATGTCAGACTTCGGTATGTCGGAGACTAAATGTTTGCAGGGATTGTCCGCCTGGCCTACAAAACAATCAATCAAAAGAGCTTTGGTGTGATGATTTTAACCCTTTCGAATCGAGAAAGAAATGCAATTTGGTGTTGTTGAAACCGGAAACTCCATGATTGGCGTTTTTCCTTGGATATGGGAACTCCAATACTGGACATTTACAGCACCTTCTGCAGGCCAAAAAATTAAAATTTTATTTCATATTTGTTTAATTTACCTGATTGGAAAAACTTATTTTTTATGCTTAGGCCAGATTTTTGTGAGGTTTTTAAAGTTGTTTTTACTTTCTATTATAAAGCTCTTGGCTTGCAAGGGTGAAGCTAATAATGGACTTTCGGTGCGAAAGGTTTAAACAACCAGATTAAAAAAAAAAGAGAAATGAAAACAATTATTTAAGTAATTGAGCTGGGGAACTAAAATGTCAATTCTTCCTAGATAAATTTTCTCGTTCTTTAACATAATACTTGCTCAACAGTCTCCGTTGTGCCTTAAGTATGTATGTGTACTGTACAGCTAGATCTAGATGCTAACAAGTTGGCCCTGTACTTGAAATGGACCAGAGTTTACAGTGAAGACAATATAGGAAGAATTGTAACAACTGGAAAAATTAGAATGTACCACATATTTTCTGAAAAATATTAAAATAAAATTTTTATAAAAACAGATTTACCAAGGGGTCTATCCCATGCTGTCTCAGCTAAGAGCGTGTCACCAAATCCTGAAAAATTAAATAAAAGTTTTTTTAGATACTATACTAATACAGCATCCCCTTAAAGGGACTGTAAGCGTAATTTAAAGTAACCCTCCATGAAAAGATGGCAATGCACGATTTACAATGGTTTCCTTGAAACTTTAATCTATAAAAGAAAAAGTGTTTTCTGACTCTCAAAGTGTTTATTTCTGTGTTTTCTCCATTGTTTCTAATAATCAAAAAAGCGCTAGTCACTTGTACAGAGAAACCACACAAAAAAGCATAAAAAAACATGGATATCTAATTCATCCTTGAACAGGCAAAGATTTAGGGGTACCGTTGTAAATTGGACTTTGCCTGTCATCATTCCATGGAGGGTCGCTTTAAGTTGCTTAAATCAGTTGTTCATACTTACCATACTTAAACCCAGTAGTGCACTCTACATCCTAAAAAATATAATTAGACGTTGCTCTAAGCTTTTACTTTAAGAATTTAAAAATTTTGTCTAATCTTATATTATATATATTATATATCCACTTTTGCATTGCAGAAATCATTATTTTTTTTTTGCTGCGCCTTGCGGACAACTTAACAACATATCTAAAAATTATATTTGCAGTGCATATCCCTATACAAAATCCTGGTGACGTGCCTAATTTGGTTCCAAGAAAAACATCCAGTTTTTAGTATCAGATCTCTGGACATCAAGTTACCTTATATTCCCAGATATCACAGAATGGAACAGATGCACACTTGAAGGCACAATCATGGGAACCTAAACCTGGCACCGTGACTGCAGAGAAAATGGTTCTCGAACCTAAAAAATAATATTTTTTAATTTTCAAATTTTTTAATCTTTGATAATTTCTCACCATTGGTTTTGGTAAAAGATTTCCCAAACTTCAAACCAGCAACAACATCTGTTATATATGATATAAAAATGGTGGAAAAGACTCAGGGGCGTATTCAGGGGGGGGCTATGGGGGCTAAGCCCCCTGGCCCAGTGAAATCTATTGCTTTCAGGGGGTTTTCAGGCCCCAGCAGGTGCTGAGCCCCCCCCCCCCCCATGGAAAGATAAAATAATTTATGCCCCCCTCTGGACAAATTCCTGAATACGCCCCTGAAAAGACTACAAGTGACCCTCCATACCACTCTTAGAAATCGCGTATTTTACGTTGAAAGCAGTTATCGAAAATTCTAAATTAAATATTGATTTTCTGCCACTGCACTTCTAGAAAGTAACTAATGATAGTTCTAAAATATAAAAACTATAGATAAAGATAGATTGCGCACAAGACGACATTTTTCAACTTACCACTTACCAGATACAAATGTACAGTCTCAGAGATGTTTAAAATATATTCCAAACTTATAGATTACCTATAGGTTAGTTGTGAACATTGGCTGTTCTTATGTCATTGAGTACATGTGGTACACAAGGGCGTATACAGGGGGGCAAGGGGCAGCGCCCCCTAGAACTCAGAGCTTTCACACTTTTCAAATCTTATACTGAAGAGTGAAGGACATATAGTGCACTAAGAAAATTGTATACGTGGACCAGAGCCACCATCACAGAAGTCCGAATGAAAAATCTATCTAGAATGCACATTCATCCTAATCGGATGGGCACTATCAGGGATAGCGAAGTAAAACAATTATTTTCAAATGCCAAGCCACAAAGTTTGAGTTTGGAGGTAGTAAAAGACCATATTTTGTTTTTAAAAGATTTAATTTACTTTATTCATTTATAATTTAATTTACTTTATAAATTAATATTTTTTAGCTTATGTCATCCCAAAGGGTAACCATGAGTTTCCTCACTAAAATTTATCCCTTTTCATTCAGTCGTTTGGTCAGCCATAGCAAACATATAAATCAACGAAGAGCTTTATTATAAAGATTGCAATTGTACTCCTACTTTTTTCACAACAGAAACTTTTACAAGTCATAATTATTTTTTGGACCTTTGTCCTTTTTTTCATCTCATAGAATTTAAGTTTAAGTTGAGTTTTTCATTATCAAAAATGTCTTTTACTATCTTTAGTTTAAATACTAACTATTAATAAACCCTAAAATAAAATGTCGATTTTTTAGAAATTATGATTTTTTTCTGCTAGTTTTGTTTGAAGGAGAGATAAAGTATAGTACATGCAAGATAATTTGACTGTATGTGTAGCTTTAAAGTATACTTATGCCTGATATCAAAGAAGCCAAATATTTTGAACTTACAGTTCAGATTTTGCCACCACCCTAGGAAATCCTGGGGGGGGGGGGTTGCGCTTCGCCCCCCCAGCTTTTTTTCTGTATGCGCCTTTGGACCGTGTACGTGAGTTCTGTAGAGAGAAATTTAAATTTATGTTACTAAACAATATTGCTCCTTAAAATATTGTTCTTTTAAAAATTACAATCCTGGATTTGATTTATGCTCTATCCGGGAAGTATGATTAAATGCTAAAATGAAATCATTAGTGATTTATTATGATCATGAAATCCATTAAAACACCACGAACTGTACAATTCTGGGTGATTTTACGTATATACGCTATCTATGTTTATTTATTTATCTTTGATATAAAAAAGTGTTCAACAATTAAAACCGTTTCAGATAGTTTATCATGGATATGCCTGACATCCTTGATCAGTCAAAGTTTTAAGGGGTACAGTTGTGAATCGTACATACCCCTCTACAAATGGAGCCACTTTATGTGTGAAAAAATATGTTAAAAACAAACTTTTCCAAAATTTGGATTAATAAAAACAAATTTGGGTCATTACATTACATATTATATATTTCCTTTGAGTAAAATCAACATGACAAATTTGCTCAGCATTTTTAACACCAAAAAACTATACGGTGGTAGGCGATTATATCAATATATAAAGACAAATTTTTATGTTTATTTTGAGTTATATAAAGCAGCAGCATGGGTACACAAAAACATGGAAAAAAAGAGAAGCTGTCAATTAAACCAGCTTCTCTTTTAAATAATTGGAAACTTGTAATTCGATAAAAGCTGTTTAAAAATCAAAATTTAAATAAAAAAGTCGTCTTCATTATATTGATATAATCACTAAGTCACTAAGCGATAAATTGTTCTTAAATTACTATCTTTAATAGGCATAGAAACCTGGATTGATTATTGAGTACATATTAACGTTAGAAACCGTTGTACGTTTAAAACGGAAACAATGGCTAAACAGAATTTTTTTGTTATTCTTCTTTCAAAATTTAGGAGAATAAAAACTATATTTTTTCTCCATGAAAAAAACCTCCACTAAATGTAAGTATTGTTTCAAATGCAATAAAGTGACTAAAGTTACGTTTAATTAAATATAGAATTCGTTTGAATTGCACATACAGGAGAATTGATTTTTACACTGTAAATTAGGAAGGTAAAATGAAAAACATTTTATAGAAACTTCCGGGGGGGGGGACAAATCAAGGGAGTTTGGGGGAGAATTGATTGTCATCCATGAGCCTTTAATTCACATCAAATAAAACTTAAGGTCACTGCAGACATTTTTTTGAGAATTATGTGTTAAAGTTTAAAAATTTGACCTACAGTGCACTTACTCGCAAACTTTTAAACTCACAGGAACTCCGAACGCCATGAGGGGTTTTTTAAACTTGTGTTCTAAGTTTAAATAAGAGATTTTTTATAAATTTTTCGACAGGTTTCTCATTCAAAAATGAGAAGTATTTATCAATTATAATAAATAGTGCGTTTTTATGACTAATAAAGTTGTATGTAAAACTTTAAACATTTCTTACGTATGAAAGGAATATATTTGGAGAAATATTTCTTGAGTAAACTTATAGTTTGTTTGTTGTAATCTTTGATTTAAACAATACTTGAAAAATGTTAAGATTTAAATAAATTATACAAATTTTCTAGATTTAATTTAAACTACTAAAAAGGCATCCCTTAAATCAAAGATTATAAAAGACGAAATGAAATTAATTTTTTTTCTAAATATTTCGTTTTCATGGAAAAAAATCTTTTGTAAACAACTTTATTAGTCATTATAACAATGAATGAAAAATAAAAAAAACGACTGCTCAATTTTTTTATTTAAAAAATCATTTCTTTCATAAATGATCGTTCTTTCTACGTCATTAAACAAACAATAGATTCGTTTACTAAAAAGTTAAAACGATCCATCGCAAAAGGTAATTCATATTTGGCAGAAAACGTCCCATATTTGACAGAAAACGTCCAATACTCGACAAAAAACGTCCAACAGTTGAGAGGAAACATGAACTTGACAGAAAACGTCCAATACGTGACAGAAAACGACCTCTTCGGTTTAAACAGCTAAATTTATTTTTTATCATAATATTATGTAAACAAAAATTCTTCTTTGATTAAGACCCTGACCAGCCACATTATTCTGCTCCAATTTACAGTGAAATTAGTTTCTGAAAAGTACTTTTATCTCTTTTACATTCTAAAAATACATTTTGTTTCATTTGATATCAAATTACTGAGAGAAATCTACCCAACTGGAAAACAAAATTAAAATGGTCGGGCTAAAAAATAGCTTGCTGGTCGCGCTAAACATTTTAGATAATTTGTAAGATTATTTACCAACATCTTTTTAAATACTTTTTCTTACATTAAGGTGTCCATGGAAGACCAAGTTCAGGAAATAGATGCGCGCGGTGATATTTCCCATTGCACTTTGTAGTAATAATGTTACAAGAATACAAGGTTATTTCCGGAAAAAAATATTTTGGCCTTATATAGGAGTTTTGAAACTTCAGCGGCGTTTAAACTATATATTAAAGAGATTTAGAAGTAAAATTTTCAGGAATTACAGGAAATAGTGGAATAGAAAATTAATCGTACTCATTGCGCACACACGCCATTTTTAAATTTAGCTTAGCTTTTGAGAACACATTATTTAGTGTACACATATATCAGTTCTAGGGTCTTTATTTTTAAAAGTCGGAGGGGGGGGGGGCTAATCTCTCCCAACTTTTCGTCTTTTTCTTAAAGGGGTAATTTTTTTAATGGAAACCCCAATCTATTCAGCTGGTGATATTGATATCTCATAAGAATTTTTTTAATATTAACAAAAGATTTCATTTTGAGCCGATCTATTAAAGCTCACTTTTTGGACCCCCCTTCCGTGTGGCATGAGGGGAGGGCCAGCCAAAATTAATTTATTCCATAAACCTCTTATTTATGTCAAATAAGGCTTGGCCACTTCAGAAATTTCTTTGAGAGAAGTCTCTAAGTTGTTTAAATGTTATATTTTAAGTAAGAATTTTGACCGAAACCCCGGTATTTCATTGAAAGTTCTTAAAATAGGATTTTTCAACACGCTACTCTGACTAAATCAAGGTTTTGGCTTGCTGCTGGCGCTCCTAAATCTTTTCTATATGGCTGTTAAAATCTATTTATATATATAAATTATCCCGAAACCACTGTGCTTTCTTGTGCTTTTTCTATAAATTACAGTTTTTCTTCCGAAATACTCCTTGCAAGAAATATGACATCTAAATATATTGGGGGATTACAGGATCCATTCAAGGATAATTGCATGAACGGGAAAAGTAATTATAAATTGAAATCATTATAATTCTATGCAAGCTTAAATTCATTGTAAATAAAAAAGATTATCGGATTATATTCATTTTGTCCATTCTCAACATGAAACACAAGACAAATGCATTTTAAGAGAAGTATTGTGACACAAAAAAACAGTCACCCCCCCCCCATGAACCCCTAAAATACCCCACCATCCCCCACTCTTCTTTATATATTTTCGATTAAGCAAGTTTTAACAACTTTTTCGGTATTAATAGATATATTATTAAAAACTTCTGAAAAACATTATTAAATAAACTTTTGAATTAAAAGTTCATGTCTCATAAATTCAAATCAAATATTTATTATAAATATCACAAAAGAACAATCCTCGTGAGGGAAAATAAATCTGGGGGCCAGGTTTTCATAATTTTCACTGGACCAGTTTAGTGGCAGGGGGGAGGGCCTGGATGAGAGCAAGAGTAGGTGGAGTGGCAGCTGAATATGTATATAAACATAATACTTAACAAAGTATTGCTTAGGTCTACCAAACTACAATAACAAACATTATAATATTCAATCAAGAAGATTTAAAAATTTAAAATGTTTGTAGGAAGACATATCCCATTTTTAATACTGCAAAGAAATATGTTTATCAGAATATACATAAAATTCAAGTTTAGGTGAATATTTCAGAGTGTACACGACAATTTAAATGTCAATTAACATTTAGGAAGCTTATTTAATGCATTGTACAGTTAGTTATTATGCATTTTACTTGTGGGTTGACAGGGTGTCCCAATAAACATGGGAATGATGTCTATATTTTCTTTGTTCCGCGCGGCAATAGGACGAGAACACAATCTTAAAAGTAACCATGAGGTACGTAAAGAGATAAATAGATAGATAGATAGATAAACATATAGATATATATAAATAAATATATAGAAAAATATATTAATAGATAGATATATAGATAGATAGATAGATAGATAGATTGTGTTTGAGAGATAAATAGTCATATATTGATATATATATCTACTAGAAATGCAATTACATTTTAAGACAAAGAAGAACAAATTTTTGCGGATTTTTAAAAAAAAATTTGCGGATTTTCAAGAATTTTATTTTTTTTACAAAATTAAAAACCTTTAAAACACATTTTTTTTATTTTTATCATTCATAAACCTTCCCTGTGGTCACGCGATGTCCCACAAAAAATTTTGGGCCCGATCGGTTCAGCCGTTTTGACATTTATTGGATACAAACAAACAGACACCCAAACAGACAAGCCAAATTTATATATAGATATAATAGAACAAGACATTCTTATATATATATGCCGGCCAAACGGCTGGACCGAATGGGCTGAATTTTTTTGTGGAATTTTTTTTTCATTCTGTTTTTTATACGGGCAACGCTGGGCCCTTCAGCTAGTATAATATATAGACAGATATAGAGATAGATACATAGATTTTTAGATAGATAGATAGATAGATAGATAGATAGATAGATAGATAGATAGGGATTTTAACGCCTACACGTTATCCTTTACACCTGGTTCTCAGTCAGTGACTATCAGGTACTCTATTCAGCGGGTTTTAATACAGTGTTCGTCCCTCTGTCTGTTCTATTGGTAGGTGTTCGTCTCTCTGTCTGTTCTATTGGTATGAAAACAGTATGAAAACAGTATAGTAAATTCCACTGTAATATATATTCTATTCTCTTTGAATACATGCCATCATTTAATGGTGTAATAGTAAAAAAAGGGCTTTTATGAATATATGTAAAAGAGTTTTCTTGGGAGTGAACAAAGAGAATAGAATATATATTCTCTTTGGGGGGTGAATGTTATAAGAATTATCGGGTCTGTCCTAGTATTTTAGGGTTAGGTTAGGTTAAGATACTTTCTGGGCCGAGCGCTGCGGCTAGGATGGGCTAGGGGGCCGAGCGCTGCGGCCACACTTTCTACACCAATTGGACGTGAAATTACAATTGTGTTGTACAGTAGATGCAGAAAACTGTGGTCTAGGAGCACGTCACTAAATCAGTACTTAAGTGTATTTTATGTTGCTTAAGAAAATAGTTCTACCCAAGGGTGGGCCATAGGAGAATTTATATATTGTGCACAAATTTATTCTGGCAAATTCTATGAACTTGGTTTCAGTGGCTAAAAACTGATTTAGCGGTCTGTTTACATTAAATATAATTAGGCTCATGTCGAAACAAAATTTACAGTTTTGACGTAAGAAGGGGGGGGGACAATATTCGTTTTTACACTTACATATTTAAAAAAAACTTTTGTTTAAATAATTGTCTCAACATTTTTGTTTCTAAGGTTTGAACACTATAAGGTTCAATTTCATGTTTCGGTTCAAGTCCACTTTTGGTTTCGTTTATTTTAGTTTACAAAACATCCTATATACAATTACAGCCACCGAAAATGAGTAAATAGTATATTATACAGAATTTGGTGAATTCTGAATTCAAAATTCTCTTACCTTGGTTCTACTAGTAAATTATTAAATCACTTATTAAGTGAAATGGGACTGTTTTCACTGCACAATTGCTGTCTCTCATGTACATTTGACATTTTAAAGTCAAAACATGGGTCTCCAAGTCATCTTTCTTTTCTAGAATTGTCTGTCCTACTGTATTTATTAATTAAAACATTAAACATGTGCCTTACACGCACCTCTGACCATTTAGTAAAAGTAAATTCAACCTAAAGTCTGATCTCGTCAACCTTAACCGGCTAGTCCTATTGAGTGTCTGCTTTAATTACCCAATGTCTGGGCGATGCAGTACAAACTGGGACCGGAAAGGTAGACCCGGCTCGGAAATTCAAATATACTACGGCTGCTCGTGCTCATGCCAATATTTTAAAAATGAAATATTCTTTATATAATAATCGAATTTGTGGTAAAAGTGCCCCACGTTATAGTTTCAAGGAATATCAATAGAAAGGGAACGAGATTAAATTATACAGAACTGCTGTTAAAACTTTGCGACCTTACTCTGTGAAAGTGAGGCAGTAAAAAGTTAACTTCTTGGCTGAATACAGAAATATCCGAACTTTTGAGAAGTTTTTATTTAAACTTTAGTGTAAAGTAGCGTGGCATGTTTTTCTATCAAGTTAAACATATAAACACTGTCCAATCCCTCAACTTTTAACCGTTCTTTCAAGACTAGAATAAATAATTAAAACGTAAGTTGAGATTTTGACTGTTGGCTTTGAAATCCGTGTGCTTCAGTCCATAAAATAAAAATTTAAATGTTGTGAATCAGGACCAAAATAACTCATAAATTTGCTGATTTTTTATTTTAAATTTTTTTTGTAGGAATATGAAAAAAACTGTGTATGTGGTACCTTATTCAAGGAGTGGGGACGTCGCTTAACGTTTTCCCTCCCCCCTCCCCACACTTTTTTATTTAGATATTTAGATCTTACAAAATAAACGTGGTTTAATGAAATCTACGTAATAGTTTTCAAGGGGGGGCATAGGGGCGTTTCCCCAATTTTCCTATATAGCGCTATAATCCGTACAGAAAGAACGTATATGGACGTTTTTGATTAAAGAGATTCACCCTTAGGTGTGCATCCCCGGGGGCCAGGACTTATACGTTTGAGGAAGAAATTGAAGTTTGTGAAATAGTAGGATCTCTCCTAATATCTTTGCAACCTAATGATGTAAATGTTCAATGTTTCAAACTTAGATTATTTTATCAAACATAATTCATAGTTTGAAATATTTAAGGTTACGCTGATATTAGACGATCTGATTATAATTTGATCTAGAGCGCGGTTTAAGTCTAAAGTTCTGTTTATCTTAGTACTGAGTCAAGCATGTTAGATCTGTATAAACAAGTAGTTTCATAGTCTTCATGTATCAGTATTCAATATATATTACATTTATTCAGTCAGGTGTTTCATTCACAGAAGTACCCTTTATACAGTAATTACGAACTATTAACGTGTCCATGAGCTTCTAACTTTGAAAAAAAAGTTTTGTGAACTTCTGGAGGAATTCATCAGAATTAAACACTTCAAACTAACATTTCTTGAGAAATGAAGAATGAGGCAGCTCCGGGTCGTCTACTTCAAATTGCTTCAGCATACAAATTTGGTAGATTAATTAACGAAAAATTAAAGAAAGAAACTTTTTTTCATGTTTTTATAATTTATAACATAATTGTTTTCCTAAGAACGTATAGATTTTTTTGCTTTACCTGTGATTGGCCCACTTGTTTAATATTCATAAAAGGCAAAATATTTAGCGGTTTAATACAGGATTACCCTCAAAGGATGAGACTGTAATGCGACCTGAGCTGAAAACTTTAGAATGGGATATCCTTAATGCCGATCGGTTAATTAATCTGGAGATTAATAACAAGAGGAGAGCAAGCATTATTTAATCTCGAGAATAAGTTCCCAGCTCTGAGCTGAAAACTTTAGAATGATATATGCTTAATCCTGATCGCTTAATCTGAGTATCCAATGGACACACTTTTGATTTTATTCTTAATCCTCTTTTTTGGATATGCCTATTCCCTACTGTATAAAAGTTACGTTTGATAACAATTACAGACACAATGCTATATCGATTGAACTAATATACGATTGAATTAAAGTCAGCTTTTAGAGCATTTAAACAAATATAAGTTTAATCATGTTAATATGAACTTATTAATTTACTTAATCGATGTTTGGTCAATTGATATGACACAATTAACACAGTTAACAATTAACAGAAAAACCGGGTTTTCAAAAGTTAAAGAGTACATCTTAACATGATACAATGATTGGTTGAATTTTATACTTCTTTCTTGGATATCGAACTCCTGAAATATGACGATCCAAAGTATAGTCTTTGCCTAATAAACGGACTTATTTTGTAACTGAAGAAAATTGGGATTTTAATAAAAAAGTATAAATTCTCCAGAATCTCTTTACAGTCTTATCCTTGGTGGGTTTAACCCTGTTTTAACAAGTCATCCAGAAAACCGGAGATCTTTCTGTTGAATACTTTTTGTATTTCGTTATGTTTACTAAACCTATTTAAATATTAGACTTTTGTGATGAGCCAAAAAATAACAAAACAAAACAGGTTTTTTTCCCACAAAATTGAAGTTTTTAACGGGATATCAAATGTTGAACAACCAAAAAAATGATAATTATAGCTTTTTGATAAAAACATAATAACATGTTGTAAAAAAATGTTGGGCAGTGATTAAAAACAGAACCGTGTTTTTTTTTATCCCCTGAAACATCTTCTAAATATAACAAAAATAATCATAACAGATATTCTGTAGAAAACAACGGAAACAACTTTTTTTAAAATTCTAAATTAAGATTTTTTAAAAACTAAAAAATGATTTTTAAAGTTTTATCATTTCAGAATAAAAATGTTAAGCTTAGGATTCCTGCTACTTTTTATGAATGGTAAATTTTTATAGATTTTTATTTTTGCTTTTGATATTCTTGGTTTTTAATTGTTCTCCTTCCCTCCTTCAAAAACTATCTTCCTTTTTTACTTTCATTAGCTCAGAAATATGAAAATGTTGAATAAAGAGAATCATTAAAAACTGATTTGTTGACATGTTTTCTCATAAATATAAGTTTTTTTTTATCAACATGAAAAACTTATAATGATTAAAAAATGGAAATTTTTTGAAAATATCACAATTCGATATCAATCATCCTTTTATACACAAGAGATAAAAGTAAATTAAGTGGTAAAATATTAAATTCAATTCGATTTATTTGTGCCAAAGATTCAATTCTTTAATTTGCATAATTGCAGAAAAAAAGCTGACAGAAAGGTCTTTGCCACACACTCTCAATTCATAATCCCTATATCTTTGGAACCCAATGTCGTACATCTTTGATATTTCAAACTTATATTATTTGATATTCATAGTTTGAAATATCTAAGGTCTACGACATTGGAATCCAAATGTATACGGTTTAGAAAAGCAGTGTTTGTGGCAAAGACTCAATTCATTTTGGAAGTAAGTAAGAATTCTATGATTTTCCAAAAGCCTCCTAAAAGCCGCGAAAATGCTAGAATATCTAAAAAATTACGCAAATCTATAAACTAGGAGTGCAGAGTCAGGAGGAGATGAACGATCATCCCTGCTGTCCACAAATATTTCTACAATCGAGGAACAACTAAAATATTTATAAAATGCATCAGAAATTATTCTAGATAGATTAGGATTAATTCTGCAACGAAAGGGGAAAGAAGTTCTTGTGTATAAAGGCGATCTCTGGGAATTCTATTTCGTGTTTTTTTCTTGGAGTTTTCTTTTTCTTAATATTCTTATAAGAGAATATTAATTTATTAAAAAAGTTTGGTCCCCGAGGTTCTTGGAATATATGTGAAGTAGAAAATGCATGAAATATTGGTTGAATGTGTACTGTGTATATAGTGGTGTGCTGGGGTCTACCCAGTCCTCTGTCCTCGGCATCTACACCATCTCCAACCAGAAGCTAGCCAACACCCCCCACCCAGTATACACCAAGTCGGAGGAGGAAACACAGTTCCATGTGTACTTCAGGTTCAGAATTATATGAATATGAGCTGGTTGGCTGAACTACGTTACCGCCGGTAAATCGCTGATTTAGAATTTGAACCGACGTTAGGTAGTTCATTAAATGAGGTTTAAATCTAAAAATGTTTTTTGTAGCTTTGGAAGAAGATTCTGATTATTTGAACTCTTTCACTTAATTTGATCCTTTCATTCTATGTATAGCACATTGATCAAACCTCATAGTTTTCGGGTTTACATAAAAGGTTCATAAAAAAATGGCCAAACCCGCGAAAGAGCAAATGCTAATAGAGAAAATGGTCAATAGAGAAAAGTTTATTAGAAAAAATGGTCAGTATGATAAAATTGGTCAAATAGTCAACATGAGCAAATGGGCAATAGAACAAATGGCCGTTAGAAAAAATGGCAATAGAGTAAATGATTATCGAGCAAATAGCTAATTAAGCAAATTGTCAATAAAGAAACTGCTCAATCGAGCAAACGACCAAAAATATGGCAATATAGTAAATAATGATAGAGCCATTAGCTAAAGGCAAAAACTCAATAAATAAACTGTAAATAGAGAAACTGCTTAATTGAGCAAATGGCCGTTAGAAATAATGTAAAGAGAGTAAATGATTTTAAATCCAATGGCAAATGGCAAAAAGTCAATTAAGTAAATTGCTAATAGCTCAATAGAACAAATACAGTAAATGGCAATTGAGCTAATGGAAATAAAGCAGATAGCAGATAAATTTGTATGTATTTTCTACATTTACGATATTTAAAAATTTTCAGAGACCATTCAATTATTTGGGCAATTTCAAGGTGAACTAAATATTCATCGGCATTAGTTTTACTTTTTAAAGATAACTGTAGCGGGAGAAAACGCTGATTTTTAGTTCAGCACTGTATAGTTCATACAAATAGTTGGTACGTTTGTATAGCAGCGATACATTTTCATATTTTCCCGGGAAAACAAGAAATAGTATCGTTTAAAAAACAATATTTTATTAGATAAATATACAATAAACGAAAAATTTTGAAAAAAATAAAGATTTTTACAATAAACTAATTAATATTCCAGTAAAATTTATTCTTGATAAATTATTAAAAATAAATATCAAAAATCAAATGGTGTCAATACAAATGTATCATACCTTCATGCCGGAATTCCAAACGATAAATTGGTATTTTCTCCAGCCACAGTTATCTTTGAAAAGAAAGATTTTACTCTATAGTACCAAGAAATGGCTAATAGACTATTTAGACTAACCAAACTTACCCTTAAATAAGATTTTTTTTCTCAGGGTGAAAAGCTACGGCCCTCAAGGATGGGTGGTGGGTGGTGATCTGTTAGAGGATAGCTTCTATATTGCTACAGGGATATTAAAAATATTAACATTTAAAAATATTTTATACCAACAGTTAATTGCTTGTTTGAAAGAAGTTATGAATTGACAAAATGGCAGAATTTAAAATAAAACCAGCAATTTAAAATTATTTTTTGTTCTCGTCTTCCGCTAAATACATCTGTTCAACATTACACTGGGTAGTTCAGACTGCACAGTACGGCTTAATGTATATACAGTACATGTTGTACCGGATTGGATCATCCAAATTTTAAAGTGGTTTACCGCGTGACATAAGATATAATATAGTATGTATAACTGCAAAGACATACAACTTTATGTTGTATAATTGTCAAGAAAGAGCGCAAACCCATTTATCATTTAAAATTATCTTAAATACAGTTCACATAAAACTAAGTTTGTTTATAAAAAAATATAAACATAAGAAAAAAAATGATAACATTTTGAACAATTTTTTTTACAGGACAATCGACACTTGACTGCCCAGACGGAATAGGTATATTTCTCATTTCAGTATTACATATTTTTATAGTTTTATCTTTATTTACATCTTTATTTCTAATTTTTATATTTTTAAAATTTACATTTTTAATGTTTACATTAAAAATGTAAATTAAACAAATCACATTTTTATTTTTATTTTTATTTTATTTTGACAAATAAAGCGAATGTTTAGCTGAGTAAAAGATCACACTTATTGTATAGTTGGAGGTCTTTATGGAGAAAATCAGACTGTTGTGGATGAAAAATTTAGCATAGAATGCCATTCTGATCAGGTATACAGGGAACAAAAAGACTTTGTAAACTATGAAGTAGTTTTAGTAGTTTCCCATTTATAACTTAACAATTAACATCTGAAATTGCTTTAGTCTGGAATATTTAAAAATGAGGTCTACCATTTTACCATCTTGAAAATTGACGGAGTGTCAAGAAATCTGCCCAGATTCCCTTTTATTCAATAACCAAAAAAAATGTCCAATGTTTGATGTCGATTTCAAAGATAAAAAGAGGCAGACCATATTTTGAAGAGCTCAGAAGACATATCATCTTTTTAGGACACACTTTTGTCATTTAATCTGATATCAGAAATCAAGGCTGATTTGCAAAGTTGTCTCTCCATTTTCATGTTTATTGGGATGTAGTAAATGCCGTACTCTTAAAAGTTCATCCCCCAAACTGTATCAGTCCAGGCTCAACCGGTCCGCTTTCCAATTCAACCAGGACACAACCCACCTGGCTCTAAATGCCACACAGGGACACAAGCTTAGCTTTAAACCTGGCTATTCCTCATTCTCTAATGCCACACAAGGACACAAGCATTGGCTATTTATACAGCCCTTAATTGATCTGTACCCTATAACGAGGTATGATCTCAACCCGACTAATTTCAACGGGATACAATTACTCTAAACTGCAATCAAAGCAGAGTTCTGATTCTAACTAATTGTAATTAAGGTTAATTATAGGTTACAAGATAAATTAATAGACGTAATTACAATTCATACGTCGTTATCTATATCATATGATTTATGCAAATCATGTTACGTATTACAGAACAGTTAGAAATAGTTGTAATTTAAGATATACGTCATATATCATATGATTATGCTTAAAGCTATCCATGTTACGTATTCATTTAGATTGGAGTTCCAAATGAAGAAATGAGTTTTTACGTACAACATTGATCATTAATAATGTACAACACGTACTGCAAATGTACAGAATATCGTATTATCCGATATTTATTACAGGGACTGCACTCTGTACTTCATATTTGGAAACCAAAAGTTATTTAGTAGTGTAGTGTAGATTAATCTTCTGTGCTTAAAGGGAGTGTTCGCGAAAAATGAAAGGAGGTATAGGCTTAATGCGATAAAAAGCGCTTTTATTCGCTACTAATCTTACTTCTATCTGTTGCGTCTGTAAGGAGAAAATTGTTAAAGATGTCTCATACGGTATAACTTAGCGCCCATAAAGATTCAGAAAATTGTAACATACGACTTAGACTGTAAAAAAATCTATCTAATTTCAAACAAATCATTCAGATATTACACCCTATGGTCATCGATTATCTTTCCACATTTTTATATAGTTTATATTTTATAATATTTTTTAATTAATTTGTTTTGAATTTTATTATTTCTCTTGCGGCTTGCGCAACTATCTAAGAATACCGCTAACCACTCACATTTTTCGAAATCAGTTGAAACGTTTTCTAAAAAGATAAAATATTATAAAATATAAACTATATACAAATGTTGCGAAATTAAATGGATTTTTTACGGTCTAAGTTGTATGTTGCATTTTCTGAATTTGTATGGGCGCTAAGTTATTCGGTATGAGACGTCTTTAACAATTTTCTCCTTATAGACGCAACAGATAGAAGTAAGATTAGTAGCGATCAAAAGCGCTTTTTTTATCGCATTATGCCTATACCCCATTTCATTTTTCGCGAACAGTCCCTTTAAAACATATCTAATTAGTTTTACATGAATAGCAAAGAGGTTGTCAAAAGATTAAGAGGTTGTCAACTCTATTCTTTTAATTACTCCATGCTTTTCATCATTTATTTCGTATTTAACTAGCTTGGGAACCAAGCTTAGTCTGGAGACTAAATATAAAACCGCTCAACTAAACTTTTAAATCAAGCTAAGAACATTCACGTGGTAGCACCGAGTTCCCCAATTAAAAATTTGAGGCACATTGGTCAAGGGGTTTATGAGTTATGATCGGACTTTTTTTCCTTTTCTTCCTTCAAGATTTAAAAAGAAACAATCCTTTCATTTCAATATGTTTCCGCCAACTGCTGTGTGAATGTGAATTTAAAGAAGAGTAAAAAAAAAAATTCCGAAAAGATTTTGGGGCTTTTTTAGTATTTTTTTAAACAAGACTGAGATATTAGATAATCTAACTTTTTTATTTTTCTTAATATCTAAAGTTGATTGCTAAGGTTAAAAAGAGTCAGACCCCATTTTTCAATCTCAGACTTAAAGTTTTCTATATTTACTGTTTCATGTGGATTACATAAATAAACTCTGCAACCTACTTCCTTTGTTTAAGGACGATTTAAACTTTGTTACTTTATTATCATGTTTATTGGGTCACCCCGTAGGTTGCCCCACCCCTCATGTTTATTGGGTCACCCCGTAGGTTGCCCCACCCCTCATGTTTATTGGGCCACCCCGTAGGTTGCCCCACCCCTCATGTTTATTGGG